CCTCATTAAAACACTGTTGTCATTATGTAAACAAACTGTCAATTAAAATATTACATGAATTCATTTATTGTAGTTATGATCAGGACTGATGTTGGAAAAACTCAAAGTGTGGACATTTTTTTAATATATAATATTTTTATGACACTGCTGTTTTTGTCCTCTAATGGCCTCTGTGTAGCGTTTTTTAAAATGACACATAAGGGTTAAAAAATATTATAGAATGTTTATTATATGGTCCCCTAATGCTAACTCAGATGGCTGAATTAGATGTAAAAATTGAGTCATGTTTTAATATGTATTCATTTCAGATTATACTACACTTTCTTTTATTCATGTTTCTCTTTCCTTCAGCTTAATGACAACTTCCCTCGCTGAAAGACCAAATGCAAATGTCCCAGAACAATAAAACCAGCTCTGGTTATGCGTTTAGAAGTTAACTAGCTAGTTAAAGTGTTCTTGTAATGCGTCAAACTTTCATCTAAACGACAAACTATCTGCAAGAACGTTATATGAAGCAGCTTGTCACCAAACTAGCCAGCAAGTTGTCAAATGTAATGGTTCTTTAACCACCAAGCGCGCCATATGTCATATATAAATCACGATGAAATCCCCAAAGCAATCAGTAAATCAGCCATTGTCCGCAAAGCATTACAGTCTGCTGGCATGTCGGGTGGCTAGTTAGCATGGCTAACACAGACTGAACATCTTACAGTCGCGATGACTCAATTACTGATGGAGATCTGAAATAACACAGACCATCTGGGCCCCAGAGATCATGACACAGATGTCTTAATCTCCGTTATGCTATCATTGATGTGATGTGATCTGGATGCTGGTGTGTGATGGTTTAGCTCACCGATCACCTCCAGTAGCTCATAGTCATCCTTGTCGATAGACCAGGATTGAGAGCTCGGGTCTTCGGACATGACTGCAGTCAGATCGCGTCAGCCGCACGATCGATAGAAAACGGACGATCGGGATTTAGGCTCGATGTATTTATGCTGATCTTGCCGAACGCTCTCAGTCTCAACAGCCAAACTTTGCCAAAAGAGATGGTGATCCCGCCTTGGGCGGAAAACGCTCTTCTCTTCCTCGTGTCAAAATCTTGGAGGCGACCAAAATTATGCCACGTTACGCCACCTACCGGTTATGACGCAGAGTCAGCGGGGAGAACAGCTCCTCAGTCACTCTGTCAATATTACAAACGTTATAGCTACTGTTGTACTTCACATGATTCCTTGTATGTAACTATTGTAACTTTTTACTGTACTGTAAAGCAAAAAATAATGCTACAGTAAAAAAAGAGTTACTTGGTTAAATGTGATTTACCTTTATGGTGAAAAAATATTTGTAAATATTTAAAACATTTTATACTATACTGTTCTATTAGAAGTAAAATAAAAAAATTAGTAAAAAGTAAAAGAAATTAAAATGTACACAGTATATATATATATATATA